AGGAAGCAAGGGGGAAGGAGAGATGGGATGGGAAAGGGGGGGGGGAGAGAGAGAGAGAGAGAGAGAGAGACTGATATTTTTCTTTTGTTATAAGTTAACTCTGTCCCTGAATAAGGTTTGTCTCTCTGAAGTAGATGAATCTGGCATTTCAGATAGTGAAACAGAGTTTTTCCTAAGTCCTTCCTCACTATCACCAGTGTTGCTCCAGAGGCATGATTTTACAAGTCTGTTTTTTTTTCGGGGAGGGGGGGAGGGTTGTTAATAATGACTTTAACACGGAAATACAACTACTTTGGCAAAGTCTGAAGAAGAAAAAAAGTTGAAAACATTAGAGCCATGTAGTTAGGTTGTACCTTAAATTGTAGGAAATAATAATGGACAAGAGAATTTAAAAACAGGTAAACGTTGGCAAGAGAAAACGATCCCTTTTGTTTTTATAATAGGTCTGATATACCTTTACAATGATTGATATGCTAGAGGGTGAAGCCCAGATTATTTTGTTATTTATCCTATGTTGGATTAGGAATCCGTGTGCCTGGTCTGCTGGCAGTTCAAGAGGAGGGTGTGGGGCAGGTATGGTTCCTGAGGCTTTTTTCTTACCCCACCCTAGAGAGACTGAATTGAGAACTTGAAGAGTTTAAGTATTAAAAGTTTTAAAAGCATAATGTTATAACACAGGATTACAGTAGTTATTGCAAAAGTTACTTTTTTTTAGCCAAAGTGATAGTCCAGAGATTTTGAAAAGTACCAACAAACCTTGCTTTTTTGTAACAAAGACAGCAGGAGGGCTAACTGAATTTTGTCTCTTCCTCTCCCTCTCTGTTGTTTAAAGGAGAAAACTCTTTGGGAGATTGTTGACTAGACATACTCATACCATTTTTTGACATGCTTGAAACTTCTATTTTTGTTCTATACTTTCCTTTCTTTAAATAACCAGCCATTTTATTATAGAACAGAAAAGTACCATACAAGGTCCTTTCCTTATATAAAACTATTTATGTGTCCTTTATATTCTTTCTTACCCAAAACAATATCTTTATGTCAACAACTTTTTTTTTTTACATTTTTCCTTTGCTTTCTGGTTTCATTCTTTACCTTTTTAGATAACTTTTTACTTTTGTACTTTGAATTAGCCTTTAGTGACTTTTAATTAAGATAAGGCTATGTGATTCCAACATGGATGGCTAGGATCAAAAGACTGGCACCTGTGTTAATTAAGAAATCAATTTGGGTTCCAGTACCCTAATATTCACCTGGGGGTTGTTGGGGTGGTGATGAGCCAGTGCCAGGCACTTTAGCAGATTTCCAGGCCTCTATAAGTGGCCACCATTTGTGCGTCAAGTGTTCTCTCCTCTCTTCAGAAGAGAGTGCACCTGCTTCCCAATGGCTTTCTGGCCTGCACAGCAGACAAGGTCCAGGAGGGTTAGGCCTCTTTGAGGACAACTATGCTTTCAGTGCCCCGACGAGGTCTATTTTTTTGATTGACCTTGGCACAGAGCTGCACTGAGGCCTATATAAAACAAGTGTTGATGTTACTTTTACTGGATTACCTCAGAGCTGAGTGACGTATAGTGTCTTGCATATGTCTCACAGAATAGGACCTGGCATATTATTTCATGTACTTTCCCTAGTTTGAACTTAGATGATTGTTATTCAGTAGGAAAGACTGCCCTTATTCCTACTGTGCATGAATTTTCTCTGCAATTTTCTTTACATAGAAGAAATGACACTTCTATAATAAACTTACTAAAGGAATAAAATAATGAATATAAAGGGGTTTGAAAATGTGAGGACTTTTAAAATGATAGGTGTTGTTACTACTGTATATTAATTCCAAATCTACACTCTCAATTGTCTTTAAGCTGGAAATAAATTTGAACTTGAAGTTAAATGTAGTAGATATTCTGCTTCTAAGAGTTATGTAGTTTGAATTTAAACCATTAAAAGATTTGATCCAGAACTAAGCTAAAATAATTACAGATGCTTCAGTTAAAATGAAATATTATTGTAATGTTTAATTAATTTTTTACTGCTAAGAAATTAAAAAATAGACGAATTCTGTTGATTCCAAGGTTTGGTGCACTGTTATACTACTTTATTTCTGACTCAGTACAGTCTTTGGTAACTTTGTTGTTATAACTTTCTTCATTAGGTGGGGATAGGAGATGATTTACTTTGTAAGTTAGGGAAATACTGTCAGTGAATATTTACTTTTGAGGATGAGTAGGGGAGGCTTGTTAGCTCTCCTGTCCCTGCAGGAGATCCTCAGGATGCTTTGAGTACTTCTAATGGGGTTTTATGACTTCATCATTACTCCAGCTTGTACGGTCTTGCTCAGGCTTATCTCAAACTCCTGGGCTCAAGCGATCTCCCGAGGAAGCGATCTCAGGAGGAATGATTTATTTCCTTGTTTCTTATGTAGCTCATTAGGACTGAGTGTGAGGAAAGCTTACTTCAGCACCATTAATAATGCTACAGTTCATAGTAGTTGTAAGATTATTTTTTGGCATGCCTCTTATCCAAAGTGACATTCCAAATTATCTCAGACTCTAGTTTTCCTTTGAGAAAGGAATCCTTTCCATTGTAGATACTGAGAGAAAAGAAGCAAGGAATAAAAATTTGTCAAGATATCTCACATGATTAATGGTAGTGGGTATTTCAGGATTTATTTTTTTTTTGCACCTCTTTAGGTTTTTTTTTTTTAAAGATGAATTTTGTACTGTAATTAAAGAAACCTATGCCTTTCTTATTTCTCCCTTAAAAGTAAAATGGTAACGTGGAATTTGTGTGCTATAATAAAGGAAATGACTGATTTTCTTCATACAAACCATCCCAAATGATTTGTGATTCAAAGATACCCATGAAGGCAGCAGAAATGCAATTAACAATTCTTGGAGGGTAGGGGATTGCTTTCTAAATAAAGAGAGCAGTGTTTTAATTTTTTGTCTTCTGTTGAGAGAAGCACATAAGAACCTTTTATTCTATCTTGCCCTGAAGAGGTACAGCAAAACCCATTCTCAGAATCAGTATTTGGATATATGGAATATCTGGAAAGCCAATAATAGGAACTATTGATTACATGTCAGCAACTTATTCGGAAGATAATCACACGCACACTGACAAAAACTACAACTCTTTAAAGGAAAAGCAAAACACTGCTATTTTGTTTGTGTTTATACAATGCTGCTGTTCTTTATTGTGACAACATATAATTGTTTGGAAGTGCTAGTTTTTGGTGAGCATTTGAGGTTAAAAAACACTGTTGGCTCTTGGATAAATAAATTAATTAGAAAAGTGACTTTGAAGCGTTCTAAGGGAGAGATTTCTCAGAAGGCTTGAATTGGCATTCCAGTGGGAAATATGATGTTTTTAAAAATCTATAAAAATACTTAGTTATTGAAAGAACATTAAAACAATCACTTAGAATTTTCAGAGCTACATTGCTTTCATTGTTTGTAACTGAATAAGGATTAATTATTTAAAAATCTGTCCATTGCCAAGATATTTCTAATAGGTGTTGATAATGGTAAGTAACAATTTCTTTGAGTAGTCAATTTACTGTATTTCAACTGGACTTTAGGGAAGATTGGTAAACAGAAATGGTGCAATGTATGTACCTTATTCAGCAATGTGTGCTTAATTTTATTACCATCTTAAGAACCAGTGATTTTTTTTTTTAAATGCAGCTACAAAGCCATCTAGACCAGTTATTCAGAAAGTTGAATCTTATAAATTATTCTCTTCTTCCTGCTTTTTTCTTTAAATGGAGGTGTATTTGAATTGTAGATGATAAGGAATATGTTGATATTCTTCAGGGTTATTTTCTGCCACAGTGTGGCTTTTACAAAATTTAACTGGGACACAAACCCTTACTTTACCTGACTTCCTCCTCTTTCTGAAGTCTCATCTGTACCTTGCCCCTTCTCCCACCTTAGAAGAATTTACAAGTTCCCATATGTGATGAACTATCTCTCCCACTCTGTCTTGGTTTCTGTCATGTCCTCCCTTTACACGTCTGTCTGGCCAGTCTGACTTTATGTTAGATCTGAGATGAAGAACCTTCTGTTTGAAACCTTTTCTGATTTTCTCCAAGGTAGGATTGATTACATATTTTATATAGTATAATCACATATCAGTCTCTATAAGCTCTGTGAGAGAAAAGGTCATGTTTTAGATTCTGTAGTTCTGGTGCCTGATATATTGTATGGCACTCAGTAGATGATTAATAAATATTTGCAGAGTGAATTTTTTTTTTTTTTGAGTTGGAGTCTCACTCTGTTGCCCAGGGTGGAGTGCAGTGGCACATTCATGGCCGGCTCATAGCCACTGCAGCCTCGACCTGCTGGACTCAGGTGATCCTTCCACCTCAGTCTTCCAAGTAGCGGAAACTAGCCTGGCTAATTTTTAAATTTTTTGTAGAGATGAGGTCTCGCCAAGTTGCCCATGCTGGTCTCAAACCCCTAAGCTCAGGTCATCCTCTCATC